GTTCGTCGCTTTTCCAACGTAAACCTTCGAGTATACCGAGCAAGTATTTATCGTTGTCTATTGAAAACATTAATAGACTATTAATAGATTATTAAGAACATTACGTAATGGTAAAATAGATACAACTAAATATTAAAAACAAACCAATTGCAATTCGATTTAAAAGTCCGGTATCAAATTCGAAAGATTGTAGCGTGTACTTTATTGTTGATATTTTAGATATCGAGATGCCAAACTGAAATATCGAAATAAATACCTAGCAAATTGTCTATAGAAAAGATGATTGGTCCATCCGAGATTAATGTCAATTAACTTAGGAAATAATCATCTGAGATGAGACGTGAATTTCGTGTTCCAGGCGCCAGCGATCCGTACGTGAAAGTGAAATGCTCCGGCCGATTGCTGCACAAGTCGAGGACCGTTCATCGCGACCTAAACCCAGTTTGGGACGAAAGCGTGACCTTGCCTATAGAAGACCCTTTCCAGCCTCTCACAGTCAAGGTACAATTCCGGCAATCGTGTTCGTCGCTGAGGGACTGTCGGAATATCTTATTTAACAAGCTCAGCTGAAAAGGGGAACGTCGATTTCGAGAGCCCTCGAAGACGAACGATTCGAATCCCCATCGTTCGTTAGCGGAGATGAGCACGATTTCCACGAGAAAATAAATTTGAAAGAATAGAATTTGAAAAGCCACTTTGAATATATATTAATTAGAAATATAAATGAGATAAAGGAAATGGAATAGTGAAAGGGACTCGAGAAACACGAATTACTATAATGGGATATCGCGAATGAAATTAGCACTCTTCTGTCAGGAATTCGTACATTCCCTTGTGCATGGTTTGAAACAAAGCTCTCGTGGTTAACAATGGTAAATAAAGGGGGTCACTATAAGATTCTATGATTTTTAATCATTGTACAATTTATTCACACAAAACAGAGCACAGGAGTACTAAGCGACAGAATTTATAAATAAATTAGAGTTAAACAGGTAAATTAGAGTTACCTTTACTTGTTTTGTTTCAGAGGCATGTAATATGAGTTAAATGTTTCTTTTTGTTTTCCTTCATTATGATTTGTAAATGACACGAGCAAAAATTCTTCCTTATATAAAAATTCCAAGGAATAAATTATCCATCTATCTATTAGCTCTTCGAGGTGCGCGATTATAAAAGAAAAATAAACTTCAAGCTGCACAGAAAAACTGTGTCGACAACTAACGCGTTTCGACTCGTATACAATTCTAATTCCATAGTATTACCACACGAGTGAACAATTTTAAATACAAAAAATAGTAATGCTAGGCAAAAGGTGAGACGATTTTCAACCCACCTAACTTCAACGAGTTAATTCGTTCACTCGAAATAATTCATTCCATGGAGATCGAAATTTTTCCCAACCACTAGCTCTTTCTTTCGACTAATCGACAGACCTTGGCTGTTTCGACAGGTCTTCGACTACGACTGGGGTCTCCAGGATGACTTCATGGGAGCAGCGCAGTTGGAGCTGACGCAGCTCGACCTTGGCCAGCCGCAGGATATCGTGCTGGAGCTGAAGGATCCCGCCAGACCGAAGCAGCACCTTGGAGAGATTTACTTGAGCGCCACTCTCTGGCCGAGGAACCAGCAGGAGAAGGAGCAGGTGATTCGTCCGATCATTTTCTACGAATAAAATGGTTGCTTGGAGATTATTACTGAATCGCTAGCCATAGATAGCAATCTTTCGAAATTCAAGGGGAACCTGTCCACCGTTTCTCATTCTACATTTAAAGGACTTCGAACATCCAAATTTTGTTTTCAGAAATTATTTTTACCACTCTTAGTGCTCCAAATTGAATTCTGTAGGAGTCTAAACGAAAAATAAACAAGGTGCGCGGAGATTCAAACCCACGATCCTCGGATTCACAGTCGACCGCTTTACCTACCAGAACCCTACGTGACCAATCCAGAACCCTACGTGTCGTGTTCTCGTTCGACTCCTTATTTTTGCCTATGAGAGCCGCGAATACTACAATTCTGATTACCCGAAACTGTTCGGAATCGCTTACATTTTAATTAAAAAAAAAAAAAGCAAGCGATTTTATTTTCTATTTTTGATGTTCCATGCCCCTCAAAGTGATCGTGAGTGATAAGGGTAGAAATATAGGTTTCGGTGACAGACCGAATAGGAATACAGAGTAGCGTTACAGAAAATAACAGAGCGGTATCCGGGTCAAAGACAGCGAATTTTGCATTTATAGATGTAGCGAACGCCAACAGATTTGCATATCGTGCCGGAGATAGGGGCGCAGCTTGCCCGCGCTACTTTGGCAAACGTTATCGTCCTCGTGCGGACGGAATTCTAACCGAAAGCGAGTGGTTACAGTCGGAAAAACGACGGGACGCGTGGCTCGGAAGTCTCGATCTGTTCGCGATAGAACAATTTCGGGACGCTGCAAATTGAAATTATTTCGAGTGTCTCGTTGGCTATAGTTCGCCGCGGGGAAATTCGCGCGCGGAAGCAGAATTTCAGGTCGAGTAGCCAACGGGGATGGTTTTCGACATTTTTCCCGACTACGAGTGGCATCGAATACGAACGCTAAATACCTCTCCGATCGATCCCGCGTTCGCTGTTACGCGTGGAAGGATTTCGCCGTTCGACGAAATATCGAAAAACGATGAGTCCCTTATTGGGAGCATCGGGAGTCAACGATTGGAACGTACTCGATTGTACAACCTGTCGAAGCGTTTCTCCGAAAGAGCGTTTATCAACAAATTGGTAGTCGCCTATCTTTGGGAGATGATCTCTCGCGATTACGGTATTTCTGGTTACCTCGTGACTCAGTCGTTTGTCGATTCTAATTTCTCGGGTTTCTACGAATATTTCCTAATTCATATTTTCGGTTTCTCGCTAATAAGTATCTTGCTAAAAATATTTCCTTAGGAAATAGAATATTTTCTTCGACAGAATCGAGGTCGATTTTCAAATTTCCGTAGTGCCTCCAGCCAGAAAAAAATTCGTACGCCGTTCGATGATTTCTTTAGCTCTTTTGATCGTACGGTGAAAGAATAGTCAGCGAGTTACACGAGGTGAGCGTAGCGAATGCCTCGGCGTGTATTTTCATAGCTTTTCGCGAACAGGGAAACTGGGTTATGCTAGAATCAGGCTCGCTTCCGTCGCGATATCGACTGCCCTTGTATCATTGTTGAAAAGATGTTGGGAAACTTGGAAGGTTCGCAACTTTTCCTATTAGAAACTTCCCCCCGTGGATGCCATGGACGCAGTTGACTCGAACATGGAAATACCGCTCCGGTAGTGTTTGTATTCTCCGGAGTATTTACTCGAAGACCATCGAGGAGACGGAGAAACGTTAATATTTGACTAAGGGAACCCAGATGGTCTCCTGTATCGATAATTCGGTAATCTTATCTTCTCTTAATCAAGATTTCGGTGCTAATCCTAATCTGGTTCTTAGATCTTTCGTACGATTTAATTCGATTGATATTCTTATCGTAGAATATTATTTTCTTTAATTTTAATGATTGAAGGGTTTCCTTTGGAAAGATCTTTTTATATCAGATTAAATTATTTTTTTTGTATCTCGTTATTTCTTTTATATTTAATATTTTTCATAGGAATATCAATCGAGTTGTAATCGTATTAAGTATCGTTGGGATACAATGAATCGTGAATTTAACGAAACAGTACCACGTCGAACGAAATTTTTACCAAACTCCTTAGTACCAAGATATCGACAAATTCTTTAAATATCGCACTTGAACGTTCTCGGATTTTACAAAAATGCCTGCAAGGATATTTAGATCGAACCTTGTCAAGTTCCAGCAAAATCGTAGACCTTACGTAGAAAAGTGTCTGATTTCGCGTGGAATGACCTGTAAGTGTGCCTCGTTGGCAAAGTCGCGACGTGACGTAACATAAATGTGTGTGCACTGTAATCCGCGCCTGAACGTCCGTCATAGTTCCGCTCTTGCTTGCAAACACGTTGAATGAACCTGTTCCGTGGTCACAATCGCCCGTCCCAGAGGGGTTTCGCTATGTGTCACATTAATGTCACGATCAATATTGGCGATAAAGAAACCATCGAGAAGGCCACTCCCCCTCGATGACGGATAGAAGAACAATAACAGCGATTTTGTCATCTGACTTCGAACGCAAACACCTTTATTTGCCATTGCACTTATCTTAGACATTATTTTTTCGCCTTAGGCTTTTTCCATACTTCATATTTTTGTTAGCCAGCCCTAACCCAACCATGAAAAACCGGAGTCGGACTGCTCTACTGTCTGCGACCCAACTCAAACACCCATAAGTCGCTTCGGTATCTTACTTTCGGGACTGTTAGTGCATTCGCCTCTTACGACTCCGTTGCCGAGGTTCGATTAATTCATTTATTTTTCGTTACAATGGAAGAACTTCTGGGAGCAACATTTCAACGGGACAACTGAATCGCGAGACTTGTTCGAATTCGCTGCTGAATCACGAGAGTTGTTTTATGTAATACAGCATCAAGCGACCGCGAGCGCGTTACGTAGATTTAAAGGGTGTTAAACGAACTTTAATTGAATAATGTCGGACATCGCGTGGACGGTCTTCGGCGACGTAAAGAATTGTGCTCGCGATACGTTCGTTTCAGGAAAGATAAACACCGATTTATTGGACTTCTTTTTCATTATAAATGAAAAATATATATTCATCATCGTTACATAATAACGCAACAGGTTTCGTTACAATGCTCGAGCATCGATTCCTGATAAATTAATACCTCTCGAGCCACGTATTCTGACTTCAGAAAATCTGAAACATGAAACGGTTCCCGAAAACCAACGATATTTATACTCGGTATTTGTACTCACTGTTCTATAACCCTCCAGGTCCAAAAACAAAATAGGTTTACCATATTCCGGTGAAATAACTTAGCGACTCAAGGACTCCTTTTTCGCAACCTGGAGAAGTTAACACCTGTCCGAGGTCTAGTTCGAAGCGTCAAACGGTTCGCATAGACTAGAAAAAAAAAAAAAGAACAACAACGAAACAAGATTCGACGACGATCAAAGAAACGAGAAGCTACATCACGGTTGCGCGAGTGTCGCGAGGGGACCGCGACAACGCGTTCAATTTCCTACATGGACTATTGCAATGTTTACCTCTTAGCGTGAGTGGAGAGGGAGATATAGAGGCTTGGTCGTCGCGTTAAGCCGTATCGTTAACCAGTCGCACACGGCCGTCGAGGAAGTGCGGTTCTCCTCAACCACGGTCCGTCTTCGCGTGTTGACCGTCGCCAGTCTCGGCGTCGCGCTTTAATTCCCGTCTCGAATCTCACCTAGGCCCTGTCCACGCGAGACGAGAGCCTTTCACTTATTCGAAACCAACGCGCGTATACTCCGCATGGAACGTGCATGGAACAGAGCATATCGATATATAATCAATGTTGCAATCCAGTATGTAAATATAGTATGACCCGAGGCGTTTCGAGATAACGTAATTAAATATAGAACCATCGACTGGTCCACCATTTGGCCAGACCATTCGAAATTTCACCGTGTGTGCTGGGAGTGAATCACGATCGTAAACGAGCCGTTCGGTCGCGATCAAACGGCGTAATTGCGGCCGCAATAACGCGAGAAAAAAAGCAACTCCGCAGTTTCCGCGGAAGACACGAGGCTCTCGTTCACGTAACTCGATTGTCCGCGGCGGATACACTCGTTATTTGCCTGGACGGTTTAAAGAGCGTCGGTGTGCGTCGGCGTGGATGCGTTCGGACAAGCCCTGACGCGGTTGAAACGAGGAAGAGGAACGACGAGAGGTTGGGAAGTGAAGCGAAGCCGCAGGCTAGAGTTTGGCCACGTGTACGTCTGACCGCTTGATGATTCATTGGCGAAGCTTTCCGATCATTAGACGACGGAACACGTAAAAAGATACACGTTGCGGATCGGTCGTTAAAGGGACTGGCGTTTGGGAATTTATTCCGTAGAAACGAGTCGGAGTCGCGACTTTTCCTTCCGCGCGATGTTTAAAGGGACCCCGGAGGACCCGAAAATATTTGTTTTAGTAATCCTTTCGGTGCAGTGCTCCCAAGTTTTGAGCCTCGAAGAAAAAGTAGCGTACAGAAAATTGTTGCCATTTTTGTACTATTAAACCAGGCAGACTCGCGGCCATCCGTCGACGTGTTCAAAGCAATTTCTTTTTCGGTTTGGAGCCGAGCCAAGACGCGATTCTACGCCACGGACGCAAAGGTCTCGGCGTCTCGTATCGGATTCGATCGTTCTTTTCTCTGGACTCTCGAGTCTGACACAAAGTCGCGAATAGTACTCGAGGAGATCCTCGATTCTGCAGAGACGAGCGAGATTCTTATCTGGATAGAAATTACACGTTAGGAATAAAATGGGAACGCCTATTTAAGAACCTTTAATAACACCGACGGACAAATATTATTATTCAACACGCGAACGCAGCGTCGGGAGTGTAGAATATTAAATTTTCAGAATAATTAATCATTCGAAACTGTCGCATGGCGTTCGTTAAAATATAGAGAAAATACATAAACATATGCGGTATTATAATATTCATAAAACAGGAAGACAGGTAAGCTGGAGAGTCGAAACGAGTGCAGGAAGGAACGTCGCGAGTGAATGAAAGTGTCCAGAAGGAGATTCCAAGATTAAAAGAATTCTGAAGAAAGGAGATATCAGCCACACTCGAGACAACGAGTTCATCGACGCAGATATAGTTTGCAGACATATTTTCAAACAGACTCTTCATTCGAATGACTCTTCATTCATTTATCAATACGCGAGTGTCCTATTAGTATACAAAGGACGTAAAATTCCAAAGTTGTCCTCGAAGTCCGGGACCCAGTCGACCACCTAACAATATCTTCGAAGAAAGGAACAAACGTCACGGGACAATGTTGGCATTCTACGGTCGAGGAGGCGAAACAAACTCACCTAGTCACGACACGGTGTAGCAATTAGACGCGGACAGGTGGTCGCGTGTGTACAGAGGAAGAAACCGCTTATCACTTACGTAACGCAGTCGGAGAGGTGAACTAATGATCCGCTTATGCATCGGCTCGATGTATGAGTTCGTGTCATTTCATTTCGAACAGAATTTCGTGCGCGACACGGGGCTTTTTTTCCTCTGCGATATTGCTTTTAGTTCGACTTTCTTTCTTCCTGGAATTTTTGTCTAGAATCGGAATTTTGGTATATCAGTTACGAGGGTTGGGTTATTTGTTAAAAAATAAAACACTTTATTCAGACCAGAGAGTTAGGAACAGCCATGTGAAATATGGAAAAAGGTCTGCTAACTTTCTTTTTTAAATCATAAACTAACGGTCCTCTGTCGATGTTGGTTCATTTTTGTTGTTAGTCGTTGAGCTCTTAAACTTTGAGTCACCAAGGACCACCAAGGACCCGAAGTGCCCGACACGGTAAATTTGGAATCTTAGTATTAGAGTTACGGTGTCAGCTCCTATCTAGCATATATGTATAAGCCATTCCCGACCAGTCTCCGAACAACGAGGCTACGAGGTCCGGATAAAAGCAACTTTGATCGTAGCTCGAAACATTTTTCTCTGCTTTACAATCTAAAGAAGTAATTACAAGGGAACAAGAGCCCCGATCGATATCAAACGCCTGACCAAGGAATGCTTCGTTTCAGGGCAAAATTCTGTTCGAAATAAAACTGCAGGGACTTATGCATCACCCCGAGACATTCTTCGTTACTTTCTTCTGGGATCGTGAAGAACATCATGGACAAATCTCTGAGCGACTCGAGCTCATCCATTTCCAAGGAAGATCAGAGCGTTCCTCGCAAAGATATCGACGACTGCACGATACTTCCAAAGGACGAACTCGGAACAGAGGAACACTCGGAGGACAGAGAATCGTCGGGGAACGATCAGCCCGCAGAGATCGAAGCTAGATCCCACGAGCCCCGGGGGGCTCCCAAGACCCCCAGACGTGGCCTGAAGAGACGAGACAGGGTGGGCGACAATGCTAAACAAACGCTGGACTCGGAGAACACTGGAAGAGTTTCTTCCAAGAAGAAGTCGACCGAGGAGATCGTCGAGAGCAGGTGGAGGCGATTTTGGGAGAGCAATCGGGACAGGTTCAAGCACAAACCCGAGGAAGACGTGGGGAAGTATCGAGCTGCGGAGGATGTCGCTGCTGAAGCTGACGCTGTTTTTCGCGAGGCCATCGAGGCGATGCGATTCGACGAGACTTGCGACGAGAGGAGTGGTAATCGATTGTTCTGTTAACGATTCGATTTCGATGATCGAGAAGTATAACGGTGGTCTTGGGTCAATTGCTCTTTCTTCTTTTTTGCTTTTTCGATTTTTGTCCTCTATGTAGATCAGAGTCACTGGAAATATTTACCGCGTCGCTAATATATGAAATATTCAACGTGGCTCAGCCAACATTAGTATCGGGAAACTGTTAATGCGTGAACGTTGAGTACACAACGTGATATCCAGGCTGGCACAAGTTGAATATCGGCCAATTTATCGATCAAACGTTACATAGTATTTGACGAGTATTTACAAGAGCTGCGAGCAAATATTTCGTAGACAAGGAAACCTTGTACCAACCTATATTTTTCAATTAAAAATTAAGAAATCCTGTCTTTCCTCTCTTTACTTCGAGGACATCGAGATCGAGATCGTTAACACGGTAATTACCGAAATAACCTTCCAGAAGAGTCGTCGAATAGAACCAAGCCATTCATCGGCCGAGAAGACCGCGATGGCTCGGAGGTTCTGGCAGCCGATCAAGGGGTCTTCGAAAACAGACCCGAAGAGGAGGAGAAATCGAGCAATGCGGAAAAAGACGAAAATACCGCGAAGGTGTCGATGGTGTCATCGGAAAGTAATTTCTTCGTGGCCCTCTCGGCTGAAAAGCACGCGGAGATCCGTAACGACCCATCTTCCAGAAGATGGAGCTCCCTGGAGAACCTGAGGGCCAAGATGGAGAAAGCGGGATCGTTCGAGTCGAAGATCTGTCGGTCGGTGGAGGGCCTGTCGATCGAGAAGCCAGCAAAGATCAAAGAGAAGAGGACGATCGGGTCGCTCAAGTCCTCGTTCGAGAGGAAAATGGGCTCCGTTGAGAGGATGCTGGAGGATCACATGGGGAGGATCCTGGAAGAGAACGTCGAGAAGCATCCGTGGCTGTTGCCTATCGAGAGTTGGATCGTCGATCATTGCAAGCCCGGCGCGAGTCAAGAAAGACGCGACGAAGAGTCGGCGAAGAGATCCAACGAGTCTCCAAGTTTCGAGGTTAGGTTCGCTACGATAGAGGACGAGCAGAGGGCGGAGGGCAGGGCTGAGATCCTGAAGAGGGCCAAGAGGCCCGATTCTCCGAAGCCGGATAAATCGGAGAAGAGGAAGCCCGAGCTGCCGTCGAAAGTCGAGGACTCCGGTCCGGCGAAGGTCGAGGTCCCTCCGGAGTCGAAGGACGCCAAGCATCAGGATCTGTTTGATAAGCTCAGGGACAATGTTAAGGAGAAAATGGAGGACATTCATAGGGTAGAGATTGGAATTTATTTTTTACGTTATTTCATGTACACGGATCGATTTTACACAGGGTGTCCCAAAAAAGTTGGAGGTACTTGAAGTTAAGGAGATACATGCTACTGCGGCTGTCCAGTGTGATTCGAGACAACGTTTTCCTTGGCGAAAATGTCCGAGGCTTCTTTAAGGAGATATTAACGGTAAATCCCGTTTTCTCTTAATATCTCCTCAACGAAGCCTCGTACAACATTTTCGCTAAGGAAAAAGTTGTTTCAAAACACCCCCGATTCACCCCGTTCAAGGACCTCCGACATTTTTAGGACACATGTATATATAATGAAAAATTTATTTGGAGACATCAAACCTATCACATAATTTAAACAAATTCTTTCGATAAACACAGAGCGTACGAATATTTAATAATAATAATAATAATATGGGCCTGACTGTATGTTATGTTAAAGTGAAAATCGATCGCTTAGTAGCTTGCAGCAATTTTCTAAAAGTACCCGATCAAATATTCTAATGTTTTCACTGCTGAATTAATTTAGCAATATCCCATTTAATCATAATACAAATGTATAGTTGTATAATTGTAGTAAAATTGAACAAAAAAGTCAACATTTTTCGATGCAGACTTTACAAACCTTACCTGTCGAGTGTAGTTTCGTTTCTTCCTCGTGGGCCACCGCTTCTACTCGTCTTATTTTTTGCATTACAGTACTTCCAACGGACCAATCGATTGGCAGACGTAAATAGACGTCTGAAGTCTCAAATATGGAGCTCCGTAGTGACGATTGTTCTCGTCGAGGCGAAGAATCTGCTCCCAATGGATATAGACGGGCTGTCGGATCCCTACGTCAAGTTTCGGTACGGAATTATTTATCGCGCTGTTATTCGTGACTCCGTTGCCATACCTGTTTCTCTTCCCTTCAAATATGCACGGCGCTCGGCGTCTGACTTATCTCTGTACAAGGTTGCATTACAATTGATGGAAGCACGTTACGTGCTCCGGTTAAAAAGTTCGATCTGTAGCGCGACTTTGGCATCCGATAAAAATACACCGTTTCATTTATGGATCGTTCTTTCGAACCCCTTCGAACGCTGGCAATGTTGATCGACGGTTCGGAAGCGTTGTCTAGACGATATAAATTGTTGAGAAATAATAAGTTGTTAGAAATTGTCACTTGATTATATAACACATGTGGTATCGATTGGAACAGGCTATTCCTGAACAAAATTTATCATTCATATACATATTTCTTTTATACGCCTCTGGTCGATTATCGTGAATTGTTTAGAAACCATTCGGTTGTTCGGACCGGTACATCGTTATATAAGATATCTTTCTTTACGCCTGATATTTAATTCATTCTCCTGAATCACTCGGAGTGCCACTTGAACGTCACTTACTCGAACGAATTTCCGTCTTGAATTTTTATTTCCTTGTTGCTCCATTCGATTCTCGAAGGCTCGCCACCTTTATTACATCCCTCCCTCAATTAGCACGTTCACGGCGGCGTGTACCACCGTGCCGCTCCATGACCAGAAACAAAAATAGCAGCGCCGCCGTGAACGTGTCAAACAAATGCGTCGAAATTCTTGCTCGAACGTCCAAAAAGATCAGCGTTTTTCCGCTGTTCCAAGACTGGGGACAGAGAAGTACAAGTCAAAGGTGGTGCACAAGACCTTGAACCCGATCTGGTTGGAGCAGTTCGACCTGCACCTGTACGAAGACCCGTACCTGGGCCAGGAGCTGGAGGTGACGGTCTGGGACCGCGACAAGAGCCACCAGGACGACTTGATGGGTAGAACGGTGATCGATTTGGCGACGCTGGAACGGGAGACCACCCATCGGCTCTGGCGTGACCTCGAGGACGGCTCCGGTAGCATATTCCTGTTGTTGACGATCAGTGGCACCACGGCCAGCGAGACCATCAGCGACTTGGCCGCTCACGAGGAAACGCCACGCGAGAGAGAGCAATTGTATCAGAGGTACGCTGTGTTCAACACGCTGCAGAGGATACGGGACGTTGGTCACCTGACAGTGAAGGTACTTGCATCTCCTTTGGCATTCTTCCGTTATTCGCTCTTCAGCGTGGAAGGCTTCGAGTATTCAAATAGTTGCTATCGGTATCAGCGAACGCTTCGAGCGACGAAGGTTTATTATTTTTGTTTACCATTGCATGAGTTCTATTCTATTTTTCAAGAAAAAGAACGAATGGCTGAACCTGTAGAACTGTTACTAAATTATATCGGGTGTTAACTCGGTCATTTTCGTGCAATTGCGTAGGTGTTCAGAGCACAGGGCCTGGCTGCGGCTGATTTGGGAGGAAAGAGCGACCCCTTCTGCGTCCTCGAGTTGGTGAACGCCAGGTTACAGACCCAGACAGAATACAAGACGCTCGCTCCAAACTGGCAGAAGATCTTCACCTTGTAAGCCATCGTTCACTCCTGGCTTCACTCCTTTACCTCTGTAACGATCGTAGCGTTCGCGACGTTTCCGCAACGAATAAATGACTCGTTTTCAGCAACGTGAAGGACATCAATTCGGTGCTAGAGGTGACCGTATACGACGAGGACAGGGACCACAAAGTAGAGTTTCTTGGCAAGGTCGCCATACCGTTGTTGAGGATCAGAAACGGAGAGAAGAGGTGGTACGCGTTGAAGGACAAGAAGCTGAGAGGTCGAGCCAAGGGGAACTCGCCCCAAATCCTCTTGGAGATGAACGTCGTGTGGAACGTGTTCAGGGCCTGCGTTCGAACGCTAAATCCCAAAGAGACGAAATACATGGAGCCTGAGATCAAGTTCAAGAGGCAGGTCTTCCTGCGCAACGTCCTCAGACTGAAGGCCATTATCATTATCTTCATCGACATCGGAAAATACGTTCAGTACGTCCTTCATTCGTTCAATTTTAACCGTCCTTGATCCTGGTCACCAATTGCGTCATACGTGTCCTGACTGAACTATTCATATACGAACACCTACTAAATATTCTTCGCGTGCTATGAATGCTGAAACGACGCTCAATTTGCACTTCTTCAAATGCTAAATTTACGATCACGTGTTGCACTTGGATATTTATCAAAACGCATACCACGGATAATTCCTACGTTGATGTGTACAAATTTACCCGAACGTAGCGCCTGTTCGTTTCGATTAAAATTGATGCGAGTCCGAATCTGACGATGAATTGTTTGTTTGTGCGATCAGGAGCTGCTGGGAATGGGAGAGTAAAATGAGAAGCGTCATCGCGTTGGTTTTTTTTGTTCTGTGCTGTTACTATTTCGAGCCTTACATGATCCCCGGCGCGGCGCTACTTATTCTGTTGCGATATTATCTGGTAAGTACACGAGATAGCACAATTATTATTCTAATCTAAAAGTTCGCTTACGATTTCCTCTGTAACACGTACTGTTCTATATTTTCAAAGTAATTATCTATATTCACACGTTTGTCTCTTCGTCGGCGCTTACTTATCCTTATCCGGTAACGAATGCAACAATTAAGCGTAGATTGGAGCAAACGTACAATTCCCTTCTTTTCTTAAGACGTGCTATTGTTAACGACTGTTTAGAGAAGAACTTCCGTGTACTATTCGATAAGGTTGCGGTGCACATTTAATAAGTCTATCGTTGCTATTAGCGCCACTTAATACAGATTGGTGTCCTCCTTGAGCTAAATAAAATTTGAATCGTAGAGGTATACGAACAGCATGAACGTAGATTTTAATCAATCTTTATGCACCCGATACGCGTATAAATAGAATCTTTAACAATTTCTCACCTCGGTAGACGAAGCATAATGTTTGAGATCCCCCAAGCTTGAACCTGATATTTCCTCTTGTATTTCAAGTTTGTACAACGGTTTAGCACAATTCTCGCCCCTTTAACAGCTTGTGCTTCTAATGAATATTCATTATATAATATCTGAATGCGTTTTTAGAGACTTCGAACCTATATAGCATATACCTAGATAGAATTTTCCTGTATTTGATATTACGCTTGACGATAACGCCTTGACGCGATATTACGCGTCGAACTTGCTTTAATAATATACTATAGTGATCCCAAATAAATGCACATAACATGTATATATAAGTTGAACGCTTGACGACCTTTACCTGCATCGCTGCATGCCTACCTTCTTCGCTACTCCGTCAGCTTTACGGAGATGGAAGTGGGCTGAATCAATGGATTTCCGGACAGGTCGCGGCGATAACTGGCACACCGTTGACGCATCACACGGGCTCCCATTTCCACGACGACGGGGACGACGGTCCAACCACGCCGGGGGATGACGACGACGACGACGACGACAAAGATAAGGTGAGCTCGATGCAACACGAAATTTGTTTGTTTATATATTCTTACGAAAGTGTTTTTGACATATTCGCGAGGTCCTCCCGATGAAAATGAGTCCAAACACGACCCACTTTGGACCACTTTTAGTTTGACGTTATGGCAGCCATTTTTAAAGAGCTATGAATTGCATATAACTAAAACTTGTGGTAAGGGGCTCGTGTTTGTACTCATTTTCATCGGGAGAACCTCGCGAATATATCAATAATACTCTCGATAAGATTCGATAAGATTCGATAAGATTTCGATAAAAAAAGTTTGATAGTTGACTCCTTATCCACTGTTATCGAAACTCGAGTAGAGTAAGTGGTTTGAACGCGTCGTCACGGATCTGTTTACAGGAAGAGAAGAAAAGTCTGAAGGAAAGGTTGCAAGCGATACAGGAAGTGACCCAGACCGTTCAGAATTCAATCGGCTACATAGCCAGCCTTTGCGAGAGGGTGAAGAATCTCTTCAATTTCACTGTCCCCTATCTCAGTTACTTGGCCATAATGCTGGTGATTCTCGCGGCCGCCGTTCTGTATTTCATCCCCGTCAGATACCTTATCTTGGCGTGGGGAGTCAATAAGTTCTTCAGAAAGATCGTACGGCCTCACTCCGTTCCGAACAACGAGGTTCTCGATCTTGTGTCTCGAGTGCCCGACGACGAGGAGCTCCTCAATTACAGGTTCGTGATTAACGACGATTCTATTCGATATTTACCAGCGATTTATACTAAGAACGTATACGTACACTGCTGCTTTTTGATAGCTTCAAATAAGTACATCCACTAAATTTTCCTAACTGAAAATAATCTCTTATGTTTAAAAAAAAAAAAGAACACCTTCGAAAACAAGTCATTTATGGCCATTTTCCAAATTTTATCTGATCCAGTGATTTGGACGGCAATAAACAGAAATTTTGAGAAGACACTATCCGAACGTCGGTTAGAACCTGGGTAAGACCGAAATTTCCACCGAGACGGTAAATTGTATTTTTAAAACGAAAGTATAGCTTGCCGTTTTAATGAACGCAAGGTCAACCTTCGGCGATTACTTCGAATGATCGAACCGACATTCTTTCTTTTCTCTAATCTCTTGTTTGAATTCCTTATCCCTAACCCACGCAAAACACACCTCATTCACACGTTACAGTCAGACACGAGTCGATCGAACATCCGTCAGTACAACATACGTTCAAAACACAAGTAATCGCACCGTATTCTTCATCTCTAACCGTTGTTGTGTAAATGTTCGGTGTTATACGATGGAATGTCATGTACGACACATTTTATTCGTCACTGCATTTCCCGTTTCAAGTTCGGTCGAACGAGGATCGATTGGCCACTCAATGCCCGCCGCTTCTTACTTTTTCGAAGAAACCTTTAAAGGTGCTCTGTCTTACCGGCAGGAGGTCGAACAGGAATATAGATCCTTAGAGAACATGATCTTGGGCGGCCAATTGAGATCGTCGCGACATTGAAACTGCATGTGATCAGGAACGTGCTAGTTTCGACAACGAACCAAGTTCTGGGCCTTGAACCTTAAATTACCGAGGGAGGAAAGATTAGGGTAAAACCACGTTACTTAATCGACCTCGGATCACAACCCTGATTTAGAACAGCATGTCAACGGACCAATGAAAGTCTGGTCGCGTGCTCTAGGGTTCCGAACTCTATTGGTTCCAAAATCTATTCGAGGAGCCTAGGTTACGTTTGCATCATTGATCTCTGCGTTCGCGAAGCCTGCTTTCGATGTACCTAAGCCCGTGAACCCACACTTTCAATTATTCCACCACTTATCTGTCTCCCGTTTCTACAACAACGATATCGATGTTGATCGAATCGATAGCCGCGAGTGCTTCACACCCTGAGAACGATTTCTCTTTTCGACAGGGAGTTGAAACCACTGTCGACGGCAGACTGCGAGAAGAGCGGTCCCTCGGGCAGCCCGGGCCACTCGAACCTGACGAGGAGGGAGCAGAGGAAGAGGCAGAAGGCCGCGTAGCAGAATGCCCCGCGGCCGGAAGTCGCGGGTCTACGATCACCGAGCATCCTGAGGACCGTCCTGCTGCGCCGGAAGCCGCGACAGCGCAAGGGCTCAGCGGAGAATTCGGATGTGATCGACATGGACTGAGAAACCTACGTTTCCATTTGTAGAGTTCTAACTAGAGGGGATGCCTGAAAACTATAGTTCCCGCTATCTCTGATCGAGTACGAACACCCCCTCTGCGTGGTATGCCTTGGATGTGACTGTTGCACGGTGGTCAAGTATCGATGGTCCAGTTCACGAATATCAACGCCTCCCAATCGTGGGAGGACTTCCGCGTTGGTATCCGGAGCAGAGGTTCCTGGTTATGCGAAATTCAGACAAATTGTTTCGTGTAACGGTGTCATCTTAATGTAGGAACACACTGGGCACTTGCTCGGGGGCTCCATAAATTAAGGGGCTCTATGTCAATGCATGAAGTTTCCCATTGGCCCTGGAATATTTTTTTTTTTAATCTATCTTGTTTGAATAAAATGAATCGCAATGCGCCGATTTACCAAGGGGTGCCATAAATTAAGGGGCCCTATGTCAGTGCGTGAGATTCGCTGAAATTTGCCATTGGTCCTTGAATCTTGTTTTTTTAATCTGTCATGTCTGAATAAAATGAATTCCAATGCATTACCCAGGAGTCTCATAAATTAAGGGGTCCTTTTTTTTTTAATCTGCGATGTCTGAACGAAACAGATTCAACCATACTATTAAGACGGGCTTGCGTATAACCAGGGATCGCTGCGCCACTGGTTCTCCACAAATATACGATGTCGAAATCGCTTAAAATTGTTATAATCGAACGCTACATATTTACACCGACGGTTCAAAGATTACAATGTGATATTCGAAACTGTAAATTTCGCACGTTCGTTTGACGATTTCTCCGGGTCATACCACGCAGAAATTGTTGTTAGTTTTTTCTTTTTCTTTTCATCTAGGTAATCATATCGAAATACGATTGTGAATCAGATCGGATTATTCACAAAAATACGCAGCAGTATGAAGCTGTTGGGCCACCGTTGGCTAAGACGAATCCGTGTGTGATAAGGTTGCCGAGAGGGAAGTCGAGTCGGTCACAGTATCGCGTGTTTGTTATCCTGCGTTGGTTTGCGCGATGAATGAATCTAAAACCTCCGTTTCGTTCGTATTTGTTTGCCCCGCGAACGTTCCGCGACAGAAATGTATGTATCCTTTCTGGGAATCCGAGAAATCACGGCAGACTCCCACGAGACGAGTTTACGGAAGAAATAAACTTACGTCAGCGGCGCCAGAAGAGGAAATAAACGTGATTTCTCGGAGCGTTTGACCTCCTTGTCGGCAAGCCAAGCAGCAGAGCTGGGCAACATTCTATTCGACTATCAAATTACAAATAAAACCAAAGTATAGCGGTGCATTCGATCGGTAAAATTTCGAATGATCTCGCAGTTGAAATTGTAATTTTTACGGAGTAACCTATAAACAGTCTTCTGTGATCACTCCAGATTTTCTCGTGGATAACTATTTTGCCCATCCCTGCCAGGCGAATCGTGAGAGAAGCGAGTCGACAAAACGTTTCTGAAAGTATATCCCGTTCGAACGGGACGAGCGCGTTTCCGACGTATCGAAACAAACGGGAAACGTGTGTATCTTTTCTTTTCTTCCTTTTTCTTATTGCAATGGATTAGCTAACAATAATCGACGGAGAAGAGGCAACATAGATTATGTAACAAACGCGAGAATAATTCCCGCCTAGGGTTATCCTCGTCGATCCGTTTCGTCCATCGGTGTCGTAGATATAGCTGCTGAAGAAACAAAATGAAAGACAAAGAAATCGTTACCAGTGGGTAAGAGATATAAAGGGATAAAGAAGTTAAAATAAAAAAGACAAATAGCGTTGTTTCGGGCGACAGTCTCGCGAATTCGCTTAGCGAGCTGTTTCCGTTTCAGGGGCGACGGGTAAACGAATAAAACGTCGCGCGTATGGGAACCATAGACGGCCAACATTTGTTCACTTTCTACGTTCACTCGATCAGCCAGTTGTTAGCTTTCGTTTCATTAATGGAATCGCAATTTTTGCGAAACTAATCTTTTACTCGTCGTTCGGAAATCTCGTCTAGATAAATATTTGTCCATCTCTGGTTCGATTTACGATGGTTATTCGTCGTTCGTGAAACGAAATGTTAGTCTTACCGTCGGGGAACGTCCCGATGTTATTCTCTTTAATAGTGTTTAATAATTATCGAATTCTTCGTTCCAACGCACACGTTCACGCGTTAGGCGATCTCCTCGAGCATGGCGACACAGAATGCGGATGAAGCGAGTGTCTTCGTTTATGAAACATTTAATAACCATTTGGGGGTCGCGTTCGAATCACCGACAACGAGGGTGTCGATTGTCTTTCCAGTCTGTCAAAAGATTGTCGGTGATTTCAACGTGATCTGTTATCGTTACACAGGACGGACCACGTGATATGTTCAATTCTATTGTACTTATCGTTAGTAGATTGTAAATTCTTTGTATACAGCTCTACAGGGTGCTCCATAATTAGTGTAAGAGCCGAAAATGGGGTGTATCGTTTATTAATGAAAAACCGTCGACCAATCACAGCTGTGCTCTCGCGGCTGAGCGCTCGCTACTCGGGCGCTGCGATTGGTCGGCGGTTTTTCGTTAATAATTCAAGAACAAAGCATCGTATAGCATTTTTGCAAAGGAAATTGTCGTTCCGAATCATCTCAGCTACCCTCAGACACCCTGTATAATCTTCTTTGCCTGTCATTTAGCAAACAGTGACCTTCGAATGAACCTGAACATAACGATCGCAGAACAGACAAGAACCATGTAGCTACCATACACGTCCGTACGAAAAATGTCGAGCTTTCCAGTGACAAAAAAAACAATGAAATCGAACGAATTACGTGGACCGTATCCGCATAGTCCAGAGTACAATGAAGCGTTTTCAGAATAATAAGGAACATATCAAACCATCTTCCCCCTAAAAAGATTAATAATGTTACGAATTCGTCGTAGAACTTTCTCGGATAATACGTCGTGTAGCCATCGTTGAAAATTAAAGAAGAAATCGCCGAAGAAACGGCGCGGCGACGCGTACGGTTGAAAATAACGAACGATAGAGGTAAAAGTTTCTTCGGCGAGTAGGGTTACTATTTTTATAAAGGTAATTGCCATTGTTATTCTCGCGACGACGGTCGCAGGCTTGGTCGTCGATTAGATAACGTTCCAGGGACTGCTCTCTGTGACTTTCTTCGTTCTGGATATTACGCTACCGTTTTTTCGCGCCACTTTATTCCTACGCGATTGCGCAATCCCCGTCGTCGTTGTAAACGCAACAAAAAGAAGAGAGAGAGAGAGAGAGAGAGAGAGAGAGAAAAAAAAAAGAAGGCGACCACGTTACTTCCGTATATTTTATTACCACTTCCGGATGGTTACGGGCTCGCGTTGTCGCGAAAGTGATATTCGTAGTCTTATCGCGGACGTCGCGGCTGAGGTATGCGTTAGTCGGCCAAGGGAAATTTAGATCGACGATTTATCGATGTTGTGATTGCGAGACACCGTGTAACGAACCTTTGGAGCGTACCGAAAAATCGTATATTATCCCTTTGGTACCACTGAGTTGTTCCGTGGCGCTATTTTTCTTCCATGGTTGTTGCGTACAGCACGCAGACCCGGGCAAACTCGAAATACCACATCGATACAGCCAAATAAAAACAATAATGGAATAAATAATGGAACGAACGCTCTTCGTTATTCGACTGTCGAATAAAATTAGCCCGGGTCCAAGCGCGCAACCAAAATGGCGGCGATGTGTTCCCTTGGGTACGTTTCAAAGCGTTCGGCGAATACAATTTTTTCTAGAGATTGCAAACTGTTAAATAATGCGAGGAACATGCTCGAGGAGGGAAGCGACGCGCGGTATTAATTATTCCTAACCGCGATTTCACGGTTCGTGCCAGCCGGTGAGAAAGCTGAAAGAGGGAAGGAGGGATATCGTCGATCCATTTCTTCGCTTTTCTAACAATCGAATCTTTGAACGCCGCTTTTTCGATTCTCTCGTCGTCGATCTTCTCATTGTCATGTCACGATTACGCCCACGCGAATGCACAGGCTGTTCCAAAACATTTTTACTCCGTCCCCGCCCTTCGTTTTGCGTCAGTATCGTGAGAGTAGTATGGGTTAACGTTAAATTTTGATAATTCTGATTATACAGAATGTCCCAAAAATGATTAACGTATTCACGAGGTACTACCGATGAAAATGAGTCCAAACACGACCCACTTCGGACTACGTTTAGTTTCGCGTTATGGTTGCCATTGTTAAATAACTATGAATTGCATATAAGTAAAAGTTGTCGGAAGGAGGTCGTGTTTGGACTCATTTTCATAGGGAGAACCTCACCGATGCATCTATATTGTTATTACGAGGGTACGGTAACTACAATGATCTTCGTTAGACAATAACGTGGTTCAGGGATTCTGAACGTAAACAAATTGTCACTTGGGCGCGACAATTCCTGTATATTCAGATCACTTATAATTTCACCACGATCTCACAAGGTTTGAATCGTTATGTCTGTCGTTCTCACACCTTTAAAAATTTTTGGAACAGATCGGATCCCTCGAGATATATTTGACTCTCTGAAGCGTCACCTTCATTTATCTTAAATCGTGATTCTAGTTATTTTATATACGCAAAAGTCTCGTTTGCGAGCCGTTGTTATACCATCTACCGTTGTTAGATAACGTAAAATCGGTGAAATCGTCGAAACGTGAAAATGTGTAGCATTAGTGCGCGCAGTGAGTTCGCGAGAGCTTACATAAAAGTGCTCTTACCCCATAATCTTATCTGTCATCGGTGCGGAAGGTTCGCATATTCGCGCCTCAGAGGGTCAGATAGGGTGTACAAAACAAGTAAAGGTATTCGCCATTCTCCCGATCGCCGATTCACGGGGCCTAAAGCGCGAGGCAGTTTACCCACGAACACACCGAACATTTTGCACCTGAACACTGAGACGATAGAGAAAGAGGGGAAAGAGGGGCGTATTCGTTTTGTCATCTAGTCAACGAACTGTTTTAGTAAGTGAGAAACTTGTGATACTTTGAATCGATTTCTTCTTTTTAGGTACGTCGACATCACACGTCCCTTGCGCGGATTCGAAGCTCGACGACGCGAGCGAGTGTGGTCGTTGTCAATTATCGCGTTGCGTGTGTCGTTCGTCGAATTTCGAATCGCGCGGCCGACGTGGGTCGGATCCGTTTTTGTACAGTCATTCCCGAGGTCATTCCTTTTTATTGATATTGTCTGGGTACGACCGTTCCATTGACTTTCCGTTCTTTTCTTTTCTTTTTTCTTTTTTTTTTAAGGTAGGGGAATCTCCGAGACGCCCCCTAGAAAGTACGCGAAATTCTCCTCTTAAATTTAAGAAAGGTAGCCGCGTATTTAACGTGCCATCCTTCGCCCCAGATTTTTTTCAGATTTAACGAACGTAATCGTCCTCTTCATCGCCAGGCTGACTGAATACACTTCTTCATCGTTCATAGTAATAATGTGTATAAAGAGGTTTTTATACTTTATGATAATAATATTGTATTATTCGATTTGCATGTCAGAATGTTTCAATTTAACGTATGCTACTTCAGTCAATAAAATTGTTATTCTTCCTAGCAAACTTCATTTTATTCTAGACGCTCTTCGATAGACGTTCGTCGCGACCGAAGTCTCGTGTATTTTATTCGTTATTCGAAAATCCCTGTTTGGATAAGAATCTGCCGACAAAATGTACTTATGACAAAGGGTGATAAGAGTCGTTGTTATATTCATAATATAAAAAGAGGGATAAAGTTAAAAATAAACAAAGCTTTTAATATCCAACAGGCTCGGTTCTTTGCTCCTACAGACTGGCTCCTTCCCATCAGGAATCCTGACGTTTCGATCTATCGAAGCGTAACTTTTCCGTTAAATTTCCAAGCGGAACGAATATTTTATCCAACCTTCGGTTACTATAAGGTATTCTAAAAAAAATGATACAACGAACTCGTGATATAATAGACTTCCAAACATCTGAAAAGAATTAATAAAATTTTCGCTCGTTTTCACTCCCAACAAATATTATAGTAAAGTATTATCGATTTCAGGCCTCCAAAATAGTCCTTTTAAAGGCCATTACGGTGAAACAGTGAAAGTGATTCGGTGCTGGTGAAGTCGAGTTCAGGACCTACGGGACGCTGACTCACGTGATTTTTTGTACCCGCACGGAGTCTTTCTAACGCGCTATGACGCATGCTCGGCGAGGGCAGCGACGCAATTTCCTTTGTTGCGAACGTTCGAACGCGAAACGGGCTGGATACGACCTGATTTTCCAGTCGATTGAGAGAAAAATATGGAGGACAACGCGAAGATTTCACAAGCCGGATGGCGAACCACGTCGTTCGCGTGAACTATGATTCATTGGCGCGAGCTGAAAACGCAAACCAATTTGCGATTATATCAAGCACAGAGTGGTATTCGTACTTTCGTACTTCTTTCATACTCGCGCGGACATTCCAGCGATCCAATATACCATAATCGCGGGGTTCGCGAAGTCGGTACTCTCTAGACACGCCCGAGCCCCCATTAAACCAGTTTCCTCGACGCCATAAAGGATTCTTCATTCACGGTACGAAGATCCGGCTCACCTGAGTGTCCTAGACCTTGCGCGAGGGTGAAAGTCGAGGTCGAGATCGACTCTCAGATTTGGGTCTCATCGAGAGAGCATCGTTTCAGTGTCGCCGGAACTGGTCCTCACCCACCTCGGAAGAAAGCATCCCGAAAAGATAAGTCTGTACTTTAAATTCGATTTCTTCTCACTAAATAACATTTCACTTTCTGTTTTAGGCGAAAGGGACGCTGCACAACGAAGATAACATATTTTTTATTGAAATTCACATTGGGAGACTGGAAGAAAAAAATGTAAAATATCTAGAAATTCTTTGCTAAGTTTCTGTGTACATGGTGACTGTTAAATCAGTGTTTATCACTGTTAATCATATCGAATATTGGTATTAGTCACAGAGAATCGCTGAAAGTCTCAGTCACTGTATGAATTACAATGATTACAATTAATAGTTAGTTCATTTATTGTTAAAGTCGTTACAATTTGGTATATTCCACCACTCGGTCTAATAGACACAGTCTTTATAGATACTGTTGTCCCAGTCGCACTACCAATAACTTCTTTTATAATGATATTTACAAGCAATATTTTGATTGGTTTAATCGAGTCACGAGGAACATTTCAGGAGCCAACGACCACGCTCTGGCCACCGAGAGGAACTTTCACGACAGGAAGATATGTACACATATTTCGCGACCGGCCACTTCGGACTCGGGAACCTGAACAGGTGATTCTTTTTATTTCATTCCTGCGCGTGGCCCTGTTAACCCGAGCAAGCTGAAATTTTCATACGGCTAGTGGAAAGTTACGAGCGCGGCTGGTCGATCCAGTTTTCGCGATTACACGCCACCAGGATCCGGATCCAGTGGACAACGTCGCGACAAATCGGTCTTGCGTTCCATTCTGCCGACCTCGTGATCGTGATTTTCTACATTGTACGATCGTCAAACCAATTCTTATGGATTTACTCGCGCAATTTATTCACGTCTGCAGTTGCATCGGAATAGAATCGAGGTTTTAGGAAACTGTTTATTTATAGAAATTGTTTAGAAACGTCGCTAACACTATGGTCAGCTGCGATATTGATGGTAGCACTAAATTTTCATCGCGAGTCAGAGTTGTGATTTTTAAGTTTGGCTCAATATCGTCATCACAAGTCAGACGCATGATTCGCAAGTTTGGCCTGAAATTTCCGTCACAAGTCAGACTCGTGATCTTCAAGTTTGATCTGAAATTGTCATCACACCTCAGATTCATAATTTTCAAGTTTGGCCAACAACTTTCATCTCGAGTCAGACCCTTAAAAATAGTGCAATGGCTAACCTAATAGTGCAAATTCTACTCGATACTACTCGAAGCTGAGCACAGGTTCTGTTAACGATTGAATGATTCGAAGAACAGCTTCGACTTGTTTGGTAGTTCCAGCGTTGAACAGAAGCAGCTCAGAGATCTTGCGCGTACCATTCCACAAGGGACCGTCCCACGGAAACGATTAGGGAACTTTCACCATTGGCCGTGACCTCGATGCCACGCCACGTTTCGGTAATAAAGTGCCTGGTGAGGCTCGATAAGGAAAATTAGCGGGCCCTCTTAGAAAAGATTTTACGCGGGGGGGAGGGAGGGGGGGGGACACGTTGCGACCAGCAGAGAACTGGAGGAACAAGTAGGTGGGACACCGAGACTCGAGGAAAGTCGGCGAACAACTATCACT